AAAAAATTTAAACATAAATCTGATTTGCCTCCGAGTAAAATAATTTTAATTTAAAATAAAAATTTAGGTTTAATTAATTAATCTATAATAATATTTTGTACTGTAGTTATGACATAAATAAATTGCTAACATATAAGATTCGGTAAAATGTCGTATATAAATTCAATTTGATGACAACTGTCAGTGTCAATTGGTATAAATTAAAATTTAACTAGCATTTATTTATACATTTTGTCAGTAATATGTAATTGCTAGTTGTAACTACGGATATTATTAAACCCGATTAATGTTAACCGGTAACTGTAAATGTAGACAGTGTAAGCACAATAATGATATTATAACTTTAAATTCTTTGGAACACGACATGAAACACTTATTTTCAATAAAATAATAGAGTTCAAAAAGAAAATATTAAGTATTTTTTATTATATATATTATAAACCATATTTGTTTAATAGTGCAACAAAAACACAATTATTATATGAAAAATTATTATATGAAAATTTACGAAATATAATATAAATAAAATATACGAAATAAATAAATATAAGAAATGGTTTACCTTTGTGAATAGAAACATCAGAAATATCAGCACGCGCCGTTATGCCATTCAAAAATTATGACTATGACAACTAGGGTGTGTTCCAAAATTGACTGCCAGTACTGAAAATCTATAATTTATATCACGAGCACTATAGGTTTTCAGTACTGACAGTCAATTTTGGAACACACACCTAGTACCACGGACGGCACGGACTAGCACGGACAGGGTATGAGCGCCACGAGCTCCAATCAACTACAAGACAGGGCTGCTAACGGCATTAAGAAACATCATCTAAGTGTATCCAAATATTATTTTATCCTTTGTTTAACATTCAGTGAACAACAGAAATAAAAAATATATCAAAATATATCTTGAATTTTCGAATTCGCCCGCTTCGAAGAACGATCGATCTCTTATTAAATGAATCGATCTATCTTAAAATCGGATACTGACGAATCGATTAAAAAATCGATCTTTTTTTGCAAAAAGATCGATCTTTTAAAAGATCGGATCGAGATCGCACATCTCTAGTTTAGGTGTAGTGTGGGAGTGTGAGGAGAAGCATTTTGTTCGTTGTGTAATTATATAATATAATAATAGTTTGTCTGTTTAGTTTGTATGAGATAAAAGCGAAGAGCGAACTGTGATGTTACGGCTGTGAACAGAGTTAGAGTTAAAGTTAGGGATGCGTGAGTAGTTATTTATTTTTGTATACGGTGAAGGTATGGATGGATGTGTGGTATAGTAATTTTGTAAACTAAGTCCCCTTCTTGGCTTTGTAAATGCTGAAGAGAATAAAATTCTATTCTCATAAGTAAACCGTAATTAAGTGGTTTCCAACCCTTATCGAAAATGCAGTGTTTAAATAAATCAATAATCATGTAAAGAAAAATATAATTCCGATCACAATTCCACGATGTAATTGATGCTTTCCTGACTTTAGATGTTATACGAGAAAACCATTTATTTACAGTAGTAATAAATTGAGCAACCGTTAAAGCTTCGCAAGGCAATATGCCAATCTGAACAGCCGTTTTTATTGCACTTGATGTTTCCGCGGAGAAAAATCTAACGGCTACGCCAACGTTCATTTTATCGAATGTCGTATGGCGAATTCGACAGACTACACTAGTGCGCACCAGTGCGCACTGAGTGCGAACTTTTTTGGTGTCACGCATTCGGAATGTGCTCACCGTATCAATGCGCTTAGATTATCGTATTCGGCAAATGAAAACTGACCTAGTGTAGTGCTGAATTTGTATTCGGACGAACCGAATGAACCGAACGAGTGCAAGAAATATTGCACTGACATTTTTGTCAGTGCAGTTTGGTGTACGGACAAATAAAACTATTTAGGCAGCAAAAAATTACAAAATGGATAAAGAAAGACTATTATTTATTATAGATAAATTATTAGAAACAAGTAGTAGTAGTGATGATGAAGATATGTTATGTTTAATAAAAGAAAAAAGGCCGGAAGTTAATTAAAAACAAAAAAATTAAATTATTATTATTATTATTAATTAAAAATTAAATTATTAATTGAATTATTAATTAGTGTAGTTCTGCATTCGCTCCGTGTCAGGGCAGCACCCTATCAGAGCAACACCGTGTCAGGGCAGTACCGTGTCAGGGCAGCACCCTATCAGGGCAACACCGTGTCAGGGCAACACCGTGTCAGGGCAGCACCGTGTCAGGGCAGCACCGTGTCAGGGCAGCACTAGAACCGTGTCAGTGCATATGTATCGAATGTGCCAGTATAGGGTTGCCATCCGTCCGGATTTCCCCGGATTTGTCCTAGTTTTAAACCCGTCTGGGCGGGTTTTTCGTAGCAGTCCGGATTTTATATAGTTTTTTATAACAATTGCCCAAACTTAGCTACAAATGTATGACATTTTACAGAGAAATGAAAGCCTACATAGAAAACTTGGTGAAACCATTGAATGAATTTGAAAATTTTGATGGATGTTTTTATCTAATATATCTGAAAATACCAAATGGACCGCCGTTTTAAACACTGTTTCATTTTTACAAGACAGAAACATCGAAATTGATGACACAAAATTAATAGACGAATGGATAAATTTGAAAATCTTTAGTCGAAACCTTAATGAGGAAGACAAGCATTTAACCACAAATGAACTTTGGCTTAAATTTTTTAAAACTCCGAATGCTCATACATGCACTGAATTATTGAAGATAGCACAATATTTTTTCTGCATACCAACTCATAATGCAAACGTAGAAAGTATATTCACTAATTGTACAACAATGGACAAAAGAACGAAATTTGTTGGGATTACACACTGTCTCGTCACTAATTAAAATAAAATATAATTTTAAAGATGTAAGTTGTGTCGATTTCTACAAATTTCTTCTTGGCAAAAAAGATATTTTGAAAGTAATAGGAACAGTTGAAAAATACAAGTCTCAAAACGAAAACAATTAAATTTTTTAATTTTAGTTAACAATATTGAAGATGTCGTTTTTTTTTTTAAGTTTAAGATGACTTATTTTTGTTACAAAAATGGATATTTATTTCTGTTAATTTAGAGAGAAATAATATTTATTATAAATTTCAGTTTAATATTGTTATAAAAAACAAAATTAATAATAAATATATTTCATAATTATTTAAATTTTCGTTTTATTTGTAAAAGTTTTAGGTATAAAAATGTTAAATATTATATTAAATTAATTAACTAATAATCAAAATTTATTATAAAAAAATTAATATTAACATAAAATGTCAGGGTTTTAGCTGTAAAATCCGGGGATTTAGAGCTTACTGTCCTAGGTTAGTGATTTTACAGATGGCAACCCTACAGTAGGCTCGATATCCTCCGCTCGAAGATGGTATAATAGCCGCTTTTCCATGCAATTAGAAATTTCATATTGCCACAACTGTTTAATGTTGCTCCATTAACTATGTTTGTAGGAAGCTTTTCCAACTCCACGTATGCTTCGGGTAAATAAATATGTTGTCTTAACATAGATGATTTTAGATTTTTTAAAATATGACCGTATCTGGAATAGCATACACTGGATAATTATTACATATAAATTGATATTTAATTTCGAATCTCGACGCATGGAGGTTTAACGATGTCCATAAGGCTCTGTTCCTACTATCTATGTCTGAAGATAGTGTTACGACATACAAACCGCATGGCTCAACTGTTATACAACTCAGCATAAAATTTTTCAAAAGTTGAAAGTCAATGGTTTTTGACCGCAATATGTGACACGCAACAACTTGCTTCCAGTGATTTTTTATCCCTCGTACTACTACAACAAATAGTTTTTCTCGAAGTTATCACTGCAATTATCCAAAGTTTCATGACCAACAAATTTTCCAACATTTTTATCATAATCGTGTTGTTTACTAATTTGCATTTTATCATATGATAAAATGCAATATTTATCTGTTGAATCCATTGCTTCGACTTTGAATTTTAGCAGCTGGATAACATCGTCGAAAATTCCAAAATCAATTTTGTAATCTTGAATTCTACGCATAATCGTAGAATATGAAGGTAAAGGATAGCCTGTATTACGAATGTATTGATAACCGTGATTGGAAAGAACAAATCTAAATTTTAAACCCTTAATAATAGCTTCATTTGGCCAGGCGGACATACGACCTTTTTGTAGCATTTGCATTTGAGCGTCAGACAAAAATGATTTACGTATTCTTTCCATTTCGTGTATCTGCTCCCGCAATGCTCTGTTTTCCGCAGCCACTGATTCGTATAAGCTGGTTTGCTGTTGTAAATGTTGAAAGTTCTCTTGTGCTGCATTTAATCGTAGCTCCAAGTCGCAATTTTTGTTGTTTAAAAAAGTGACCTGTTCCTGCAAATGTTGTGTTACTCAAGCGAACTCCTCCGCCTGTAATATAGCGATAGAAACAAACATTATGTTTAGAGAGCTGACAATTATTTTAGCAGTACAAAAAAAACAAAGCAAAAATTTATATGTAAAAAAAAAAGAAAAATCTGTAATGACGTGTTTTACAGTGTTTTTGTTTTTCAACACTACCAGAAAAAGAAAAAGATTCTCCATTTACCTCACATTCTCGTGTTTCCGTTGCATCTGTTACGGGTGTGTGCAGATCGAAGACTCGTTCCAGCTGTTGCGTTATTTCAAATGGCTTGTCACACTCCTCAGTAGCTTTTTCTTGGTTAAACTGAATTCTGCAATAGAAAAACTCAGACGATTAAGATTCTGGATAGTGCAATTCAATCTTCTTTCATTAATACATAGTATTGCGGTTTGAAAAATTACCAATTCTTGAAGCACCGATCGGTCAAAACTATTAACTATTGTTACTTGAGCAGGCGTTGCGTTTTCGTCACGATTCTGAAAGGAGCGAAAAATATTAATCTCGACAGTGATAGGTTAAAAAAATGTGGTTAATTTATGTCGAAAATAACCTTGTACAGTGATTTTCGTTTAGGTGGGTTGATTCGTGGCGGGGGGTTGGGCACATCGAAAAGCGTTGGGACTGCATTCGGTTTAAGTTTTCTCCAGCCATCAATGCGGTGAGCTTCGAATTGGGAATCTTCAAAATGTACCTTGAAACAAACAAAAAAATATTATTAGCGTTGAGTATTAGGCCATTGGGTGATATGATAAAAAAATTATATCCTTATTTTGAGAGAGATACTTACCTCACACAATTGCGAAGAAGTGGTCGGTGTCCACTTATCTCGTCGCATATTGTCAACCCATTTATCTCCACGTTTACCCTTCGGGAACGAGAAGAGCCTGTAGCCCTTATCAACCCGATTACTAGAATTAACTGCGGCACAGCCAGGCATTTTTTTAAATGCGAATTATATGCCCTTATATGATTTGTTTCTGCAACAAGAAAATAACGTCTTGAAGGTTATCTTTCTGAGACATAAATATTTGCAGATAAAAAGAACAAATTTCTATTCTGACACAGAAATTAATTATTTCCGTGTTTGTATGAATGTTTTTTTAATTGGAAAAATACATACTTTTTGGATTAAATGCGGCGAATTGTTGTTCGGACATTCAATCAGCATTGCTGTTCACTCGCTGTAGTGGCACTGTTTGGCACAAAAATGGCGGATAGGAATACTCCCCTTTATAGTGCCTTAACCATACCTTAGGGACGGGAGTTTTCCCGTCAAATGAAGCAACAAGTCTCCTCCATTCCCTATGCTTGATTTTTTTCAAGGTCTTACGGCATTCCTTTTCCACCTCTTTAAATCTAGCGAGATTTTCAACCGTCATACACTTCCTGAAAGCTCTCGATGCGGCCCTGCGCTCCATAACAGCCTCCTCGCACTTTCTGTTCCACCAAGGAGGGGGAGTCTTACGTCTTTTGGCCTCAGCATTTCTCGGCATTCTTTGATTCGGTGGTAAGTACTCTCCTTCTACAACATGGTTATTAAAATGTTCATATCTTTCTATCGGAGATAAACAAAAACCGGGGGACCTGAGCCCCATGAGATCCCGCCTTAATGTGCTAGTCAGATCGATAAGCTGTTGTTTATTTAATTTAATTTTGTAAAGAAAATGCTTAGAGTTCTGTATTATACCACCGATAGTGATGTAAACCGGATAGTAATCGCTACCCATGGGGTCTTCCTCAGTGAGAGTGCAATTAAAGCCAACTCAGGAGAGGCAATAGTCAAGTTGATAATAGACTTTCGTCGGCCCGGGGGTTGAATAAGAGTAGGCGCATCCTCGTTCAAAACCAGGAAGTCGCTTCTGTCCATTTCTTCACACAAAACGCATCCCGGCGCGTCTGTCTGATCACAATACCAGAGAGGATGATGAGTGTTCATATCTCCCACTATTAAGACGTAATTGAAAGACGAGCTAAAGTTAAAGAGCGCTCTATAGACCTGAGTAGGGGTGGCCATACTACAATGTTTATAAATATTAAAGATTGCCAAGGTGGAAGAATCTCCAATTATAAATGTGGCTCCCTGGATTTCCCATGATGGGTGGGAAAAGGCGAACAGATCAATAGGGTCAAAACGCAAGCTGCTCCGAATAAGCATCGCCACACCTCTATCACCAGCTCTTGTGATATTTCCTCGCAGCTGTACATAACTGGAAAAATTGAATATCGAATCTTACTTGAGTAAAGTTTCTTGTAAACATATGACATCCTGTCGACCAAGCATGGACTGAATTTGCGGGAGATTGCCTATTAATAGATTGCCTATCCTTCCAATTTGGAACACAATAACTGAACCTCAATGCTACCATCACTAGAAATGGATCGAAGATAAATACATGCACCATATGCTTGTTGGCTTGCATCTGAAAAACCATGAATTTCCCTGACTTGTACATCATCAGATGTGATAACCTTGCGTGAAATTTCAATACTACCAAGACTCTGTAATTTATGCTCATATTCCTTCCAACGTGTATGTAATTCGTGGGATATTGACTCATCCCAATCAACTTTAGCGCGCCATAACTCTTGCATTATGATTTTAGCAATTACGATAGATGGTCCTAGTAATCCTAAAGGATCAAATATTAATGCTATTCTAGACAATATACTGCGTTTGGTAGGCTCTTTTAACAATGAATGTTATCCAATGCTTTCGAATTTGAAAATATCTGATTCACAATTCCAAATTACGCCGAGTGCTCTGGTTTCATTACCATGATCCCCAGCCAAAATGAACCTTTTCTTATGAGTTCCCTGTGCATCTCGAAGCGATGAACTATTGGATGACCATTTTCTCAGCTCAAAACCTCCCCTTTTTAACAATTCGATAGTTTGTGTTTTTATTTCCAATGCCTCTTGGAGAGTAGATGCGCCTGTGAGCAAATCATCTACATAGAAATCACGTAATATTGTCTTTGAACCGACAGGAAATGAATTTATTTCGTCTTCTGCAAGCTTTCGTATAGTCCTAATAGCGAGAAATGAGGCTGGAGCAGTGCCATATGTAAGAGTTAAGAGTTCGAAAATTCTCAGCTCATCTTGAGGAGCATTGCGCCAAAAAATACGCTGCAAATGTCGTTGAGATTCATCCACCAAAATTTGCCTATACATTTTAGTTATATCTGCAGTCATTGCATATCGAAATGTGCGGAAACGCACTAAGTGTGAAAATAGATCCTCCTGAATAGTCGGACCAACCAATAATGCATCATTCAATGACAATCCCGATGCACTTTTGCATGAAGCATCAAATACTACTCTTAATTTTGTCGTCGTACTACTTTCTTTAAACACTGGATGATGTGGCAAGTAATAAGCTACTTCTTGATTTGTAGACAATTTTATCTCGCGCATGTGATTCAAATCAATATACTCTTGCATGAATTTTTTATATTGTGAATATACTTCCGGTTGAAAAGATAAACGCCTTTCTAATTTGAGGAAACGACGCTTTGCAATTTCATAAGACTCGCCTAACTGTTGCATTTTATCATCGTTAATGGGCAATTTGACTATGAAACGACCTTCAGGATCGCGAGAAACATTTTCTTGAAATTGTGTTTCACATCTTTGCCCTTCAGAAGTGTATTGAACTTTACATTCGGAAGCGACATCATGTTCGACCTCCCAGAATCTGGACAGACATTTTTCTAAATTATTAATTGAAGTAATATGACAGGATGCAACTGCCATGCTGTTCGAGTGTCCGTATGTAGAACCGGAAACCACCCAACCAAGTTTAGTTTTTTGTAGCGTGGGATGCGCCCTGCACGCCTTAATTTGACCTATGCAAATGAGCTGCCAAAACATCTGAGCCCCTATGAGTAAGTCGACCTCACTAGGAATATTAAAATTAGGATCTGCAAGAACAATATTTGTTGGAAGCTTAAACTCAGACATTGGACAAAATTCTTGTGGTAAGTTTTGCGTGATTTTAGGAAGGACTACGCATTCAAGATTATTCGTATACTTATTGATTCGCGATCGAAAACTAACATTAGTTATTTCCTTTGATCCAAATGTTCCTTCCGCGACTCCACAAATCGACATGTTTATTGCACGACAGTTAAGCCCCAACTTGCTCGCTAAGTTTTGTGTAATAAAATTTAATTGCGAACCGCTGTCCAACAAGGCTCTGTAGCCATGAGGCTGTCCTTGATCATCGTACACAGTAACTATAGCGATAGAAAGAAAAATCTTAGATGCATTGACTTGAGTGCATTGAGTAACTACTGGCGATGTAGACTCTGACAATGACACATTAGTTGTTTTGGAAGAATCGTTAGAAGATTGATTTTCAATATTTGTTGTGTTAGCCTTAGACTCAAAATGTAATAACGTATTATGTGACTTTCCACATTTTCGACAAGAACTAGACATACAATCCTTTGCTTGATGTCCCTTAGCTTTCAAACAATTAATGCATAAATGTGAATTTTTTACGACTTCAAAACGTTTTTCAACAGGTAATTTGCGGAATGCCTCACATTGAAATATGAAATGATTATTTTTGCAATGAACACAAACCTGATTCGATGTGCTTACATGTGAACTAGGATTCTTGGCCTCTCGAGAACTGTTCGGAGATTCACAATTTGATCGTAATGTTAATGACTTGTTAAAGGTAGCTTCCAAAGCCTCACATCTCTGTGCTAAAAAATCAGTAAGTTCCTTGAAAGTAGGTATTGCGTTGTCCACACGACTTGTCTGCCACTCTTTAACTGTAGAAGAATCAAGCTTGGCCACTACCAAATGGACCATCATGTCGTCCCAAGATTCTACCGGCCTTTGAAGGGCCTTAAGAGCTCTGAAATGTTTAAGTACGTTATCAAGCAAATTCCGCAAGGCGGTATAATTTTCCTTATGAATTGGAGTTATCTCAAACATTGCCCTAACATGTGTTTGAACTATACGCTTCTTATTATCAAAACGCTCATTAAGCAACTTCCAAGCTTCAGTATAATTATCAACTGTAATGTCAAAGGCCTTAATAACCTCAGCAGCCTTGTCCTTTAATGACGAACGTAAATAATGAAATTTTTGTATTGCTGATAGACTCGCATTATTATGTATAAGATTATCGAACGAATCATGAAACGTGCACCAATCTTCATAAGCACCCGAAAATGTAGGTAATTGAATTCTTGGTAACTTAATTTGTGACTCTGTGTTGTTTCGTGGTGCAGCTTGATTAAAATTATTATTATTAGCAAATTGAAAGTTAATATCCGCATGTTCAAGCTGACTGATACGTCGTTCATAAATCGCCATGAGGTGAAAGTATGCTTCCTCAAACCGAGCACGCTCTTCAGCATGTGCCGCGGTTGTGTTTGGATCATCAAGGCTCGAATCAAAACATTCAATGGATGATTGGACTTCATCGAATTGCTGAAATAAGTCCGCTAACTTTTTCTTACGTTCAATCAATTCAAACTTTGTTGCATGCTCGGCTTGCGGAGATTCTACATAACTACGCAATCGTGTGGCAGAAGCCTTTATAGTTCTTCGCCTAATTTTCGCTTCGTTTTCCGTTAAACTCATTTTGATTCGTTATGACGAATAATAAATGCAAACTTACGTGTAAATGACAAATGATAAGAAAGACAATATATGAATCGTTGTGTATGTGTTACTTAATCATGTGAAAAATGAGCTTCGCCAGACGATGACTCGATGATTGATGCCGATTGTGGTTGTGAACGCGCCTTGTCGACGTTCTTTCCTGGTTGCTGACAGGTAACCTTGTCCTTGTGTAACAATTCAACTGGCGACAATGTCCAAGATGGCTGCGATGCTGCACAATATGGCTGCTGTGCCTTGTACTGCTTGCCCAATATGTCGATGCGTGGTGCCTTAGTTCCTCAAATGCTTTATTTCAGCTTCTCAATGGCTAGAGAAAACTGACTGTTTCGACGACCACGATTACTCACGCTTCCGAGTATACAACTCGGCTTATGTGCTTTTTTACTTCGTGGAATTGTGCCTCAATACGAAGTATGCAATAATGTCCAATGCGGCAATAGTAACGACTCTCGTAATGTTCGAGAGACATCCGGCTCGAAGGACCAAAATGTTGGGGAAACCTTTGATATTTCCCCTTGTGAAACTGCGTCACGTGCGTATGTGTACGCTAATTATATCTTGATTTCGATACGTGGATCGCACGCACGAAAATAAATGCAAAAAACACTTGATGTATAAAAATGCTCTTTATTGCAATACTATTGCCACTATGAAGCTGCGTGAGAGACTGACTTGCGCGGGAATCACGCTTCTTAACGGAAAAACGTAAGGCTAGGTAACGAACGCAAAGAAAATACACTAGAATGTGGCGCTGCGGAACATACTCGAAACTAGTAACTTAATAATCTACGGATACATGCGAACGCTCGAAGTAATGTAGGAACATTCGCGGGAAACTTAATAATTATACGCAACATAGGGTTTTTGAATTAAGTTTTGACAGCCGGCCGATGTAACCTTAGTTTTGATAGATAACCTCAGTTTTGAGTAACCTCAATTTTGATTGAGTTTTGATCGGTGAAATTTCCGAAATATTCCCAAGCTTAATTGAAAGGAAGTGAAGCCTTTGATGCATCAGATAAGTTGTTAATATATCACATTTGAAAAAGTATCGCTTTGATATACTTGCCAATAAGAAAATATACTTTGTGAACTGTTTTTCTTACACAGGTAATGATAAATATCGAGAGAGAGCTAGCTAGCTAGCTAGAGAGAGAGAATAATTAAATACGGAGTGTTTGTGTGTTGTAGCCAACTCTCTCCTCGTCATCGCTCGCCGCCGTCATTACACCTGCACTAGGTCATTGACAATAATGGATACTGGATCGATTATTAATATATCCGTAATATATCTGTAAATAAAATGAATGTATATATATGTTATATTATTAAATGAATGTATATAAATGTTATAAATGTTATGTTATAAATGTTATGTGTTATGAAAGTTATGTAATAAATGTTAATTATTAAATAATGTTATATTATTATGTTATTTTATTAATAAATAAATGCAAATAAAATATATGTTATACTTTTAAATAAATTAAATTAAGTTATTATATTTTATTAAAGACTTAAGAGTGGCGTTTTCGCACAATTGAGGGGCTGAATTCTATAAAGGGATACGCGTGGATTTCGCGGAATAAGTATTGTCCGCGGGGCTAATTTTGGACATCTCTCTAATTTCAATTTTAACGATTGATTCTTGTAGAAAATTTCATAGCGCATCTTTTTTGTCTTTAAATCAAATTTGTAATGTTTTTTGTTTTCAAGTTATAAACAAAAAACGTAATTTTTTTAATTAAAAAATTTCAATAGATTTTTGTGTTCAACTCGCCATATCTTAGCCAAATATAAATATTTTTCTTTGAAATTTTAACAGAATTGATCAAAATAGCGTATTTTGGATTAAAAAAAAGCTGTTGATCAATTTTTATTGACAATTTTTATTGATATAATACTCTAATTCTTATTTTGTAACTGTAAACAATTAAGAAATTGAAAAAGATTTCGAGAGCCCTTAAATATATTATGTTTTGATACATTATTGATACCCTTGGTTCGCCGGATCGAACTTTCGCGTTGCGCGCAAGTAGTATAGATGGGAGGATTCTAGGCCAAGTTTGTTCTATTTTCCGTAAGCACTTGATTTATGAACCAGGTTTACCAACATAAATTGTAATGTGTTTAAGAACGCGAGGGGTATAAATTATAATACGTTTAGGAACTCTGTGGTGATGCCAGGGGATGACGTCACAGAGTGAGAGGGGTATGACGTCACGGAAGGGGAAGGGATGACGTCGAGGGGTATGACGTCACGGGAGGAGGAGAATGACGCCGTAAGGGATGACGGGGAGGAAAATGACATCACAGGGTGCTGACGCATTCGCGCGGGGTCCGCGTTGTCACCGCGGGGTCAATGGCTGCCAGGGTCCTCCAGACGCGGTAAACTAACGCGCGCGGTCCTACCCCGCCGCGAGGTCCGTCGGGCGCGGTCCTCCCCCACCGCGAGGTCCGTCGGGCGCGGTCCCTCCGGGCGCGGTCCGTCGCCGCCGCCGCCACGCTATACTATCGTATATACTTACCATGTATACTCACCGTCACTCTTTCATGTCATCTTCTTCTTATGCATCTCAAAAGATTTTTCATTTTATGTAGCAATAATAATAAAATATTTATTTATTTATTTTTGTTTATTATCTTCTCTTTTTTTTACAATTAATAATAAAATTATTTCATATATATATATTAATAATTTAATAATTTAAATAGCCCCGTGTTTTACATATTTAACTATCGCGATACCGCTGTCGCACGCGGTGAGGCTGCCGCGATAACGCTGTCGCAGTGCGTTATATGATGCCGCACGAATAAGGATGGAAGGAAAACTGAGATGTACTAATAATAAATATTTTTAGTAAAATTAATAAGAATAAACGAAGGTAAAGGATGAAATTAAATGATTTAACAGAATGAGATATGCAGAACAGGAAGCATTGATGAAGACAATCATTTACAGGATTTAAAGGTTATTAATTTCAACTCGGGGTAGTTATTCTTTTTATAAATACACATTTATTTATTTATAATACATAAGTAAAGAAACTGAAAATGATATCAATTTGATAAATTTTTAAGCTTAAATTCTAAGATATATAAATAAATACTAATGAATACATATGATTAAGTTTGATATATATATGTATATATATATATAAAATAGGTATTAAAACAGGTAAGTTTAGTTTTAGGTTTAGTTTTAATAGGTATTAATACTAATGAATACATATGATTAAGTTTGATATATATATAAAATAGGTATTAATACTTTAAAAATACAATTTGAAATAGTTTTGATTTCAACGCTTCAATGTGATGACATCATCATCATCATTAATATCTTTCATCCATATCTGATTATTAATTTTCTCTATCTTTTTTTCATATTTTTTTACTAATTTTATAAGGTCATCAGCAGGGAATGGAAAGTTACTTTTTAAAAATAACTAGTTACAGTTACTCGTTACCGAGTAAAAAATGTAACTAGTTACAGTTACAGTTATCGCTTTTTAAAAGTAACTCGTTACAGTTACCGTTACTTGAAAAATAACTTTTCGTTACTTTT